AGAGACAATAACACAAAACCTTCAATATCTCAATAACACAAAACCATCTATATCATCAGAACAAAAAAACCATTTATATCTTCAAATACCAACAATGGTGAAAAGATAAATAAACAAGAAAATCATAGTAAAACTTCACATACCGTAACAATGGTGGAAATGCAATGCAGACAAACGGATGCACTCGAAAACGGACGGTGAACGGTGGCGAAATCCAACGGAAGAGGGCGACGGTCGGACGGAGGATGACATAAACTATAGGGCAACGTTCGTTCGTTTGTTCACCAGAGAAAGAAAAAAGAAAAGAAACTACGCGACTGTTCTGTTTCTTTTAAAATTCTGGAGGGTATTTTAAAATTATAATACTAAAACCTATAGCAGCGTTTTTTAAAGGCCTTTAGCAGCGCTTTAAAAGGCGCTTTCATAGGGTGCCTTAGTAATGCCATATAGCAACGCTTTATATAAAAAGCGCTTTCTAAGGGTCCCCCTTTAGCAGCGCTTTTTAAAAGCGCTTTCTTAGGGTCCCCCTTTAGCAGCGCTTTTTAAAAGCGCTTTCTTAGGGTCCCCCTTTTAGCAGCGCTTTTTAAAAGCGCTTTCTTAGGCTCCCCCTTTAGCAGCGCTTTTTAAAAAGCGCTTTCTTAGGCTCCCCCTTTAGCAGCGCTTTTTAAAAAGCGTTGTCTTTGGTAGGCAATTTTTTTTTTTTTTTTAATCACCCTTTAGCAGCGCTTTTTTAAAAAGCGTTGTCTTTGTATGCACTGCTAAAACTCATTTCTGGCGTAGTGTCCATACAACCAGCATAATCACTATCTGTGTATCCCACTAGCTCTTGATTTCCTAATTTCTTGTAGAAGATGCCATAACTCGCAGTTCCTTGCAAGTATCTTAGTAGTCTCTTAGCTATCATCAAATGTAGCTTAGTTGGCTTATCCATGTATCTACTGACCATGCTCACAGTATACATGATATCAGGCCTGGTGGTGGTCAAGTACATCATACTTCCAACTAGTTGCTTAAACAAAGAGCTATTCACAGTGACACCTTCATTGTCTTTGTGAAGTTTAACTCCTGGAGTCATTGGATTTAAAACTGGATTACTTGCTTCCATGCCAAACTTCTTTAAGATCTCTTTTGCATACTTCATCTGACTGATGAAAATCCCACTATCAAGCTGCATGATTTCTATTCCAAGGAAATATTTCAATCTTCCTAAATCAGACATCTCAAACTCCTTCATCATAGATTGCTTGAAGTCTTGCAACATGATCTCCTCATTTCCAGTATAGATTAAGTCATCAACATAAAGACTTACAATCAACTACTTACCTTGTTGATTGACTTTGGTGAATAGGGTCTGCTCACTTGCCCCTTTATTGAAGCCCATGGCCTTGAAATATGCTTCTATTCCGCTAAACCATACCCTTGGTGCTTGTTTAAGTCCATAGAGGGCTTTCTTGAGTTGTACACCTTAGTCTCCTCATGTTGCAATTCATATCCCTTTGGCTGATCAACATAAACTTCCTTTGTGAGCTCTCCTTGTAGAAATGTCGACTTTACATCTAGCTGATATATAATCCAATTTCTTTGAGCTGCAAGAGCTAGAATCATTCGAACAGTATCCATTTGTGCCACTGGTGCATACACCTCCTCATAATCTATGCCATGTTGTTGTGCATATCCCTTTGCTACTAAACGGGCCTTGTACTTATCAACCTCACCATGTTGGTTCAATTTTGTCTTGTATACCCACTTGACCCCTATGCTAGTAGCTCCTCTTGGCAGATTAACTAATGACCATGTTCTATTTCTTTCAATGGATTTTATCTCCTCATCCATAGCTTTCTTCCAACTATCAATTTTCACAGCTTCCTCAAATGTCAAGGGGTCTGTGCTAGACATCAAAGCAAAAGTGACTGGATTACCTCCACCATCGACACAGTGATTGAAAGCATAGTCATTCATCCACGTTGGAGCTTTTCTGCTGCGTTGAACTCTTCCCACGCTTTCTGTATTGTCGGCTTCCGCATTTTCATCACTTTCTTGTTCTATTTCAGTTTCATGTACTCTTCCCACGCTTTCTATATTGTCGGCTTCTGCATTTTGATCACTCTCTTGTTCTGTTTCAGCAATTGGCATATCATCATTTTGTTGCTCAATTTCCTCATTTGTTGGCTACTTGTCTTCCCATTCAAGTTGTAGCTTGACTAATTCAGCATGAGTTTGATTCCATTCCCATTGTTTGTCCTCTTCAAACACCACATCCCGACTCACCGTAATTTTCTTCCCAATAGGATCATACAGACGATATCCTTTAGTCTCAGTACTCACTCCTAATAAGACACATCTTGTGCTCTTATTATCAAGCTTAGTTCTTCTTGCATCTGGCACATGAACATGTGCAATGCACCCAAATACCCTGAAGTGTTCAACTGAGGGTTTAATTCCAGACCAGACCTCTTCTGGTGTTATACCTTTTAACGCTGAAGTAGGACGCCTATTGAGAATGTAGAATGCCCAGTTTACTGCCTCTGGCCAGAAGCTCTTAGGTACGTCCTTTTGCACAAGCATGCTTCTAACCATGTTCATGATTGTTCTGTTTTTCATCTCAGCCACTCCATTTTGTTGGGGTGTATATGCTGCCGTAAGTTGCCTTTTGATGCCATTATCTCTGCAATAATCATTGAACTCGGTTGAAGTAAACTCCCCTCCACGGTCTGTTCTCAAACATTTCACATATAGTCTAGATTCCTTCTCAACACTACTTTTAAATTTCTTGAAAACAGTAAATGCATCACTCTTGTAAGTAATAAAGTATACCCAAGCCTTCCTACTGTAATCATCAATAAAACATATGAAATACCTCTTTTGGCCATGTGACCGCAAATGTCAGCATGTATGAGCTCTAGACGCTCTACAGCTCTCTGCAAGGCTTTCTTTGGAATGTACTCTCTGTGTTGCTTGCCTTTCAGACACTCAGTACATACTGTTGTGATCTCTCCAAGACTAGGTAAGCCCATTACCATGTTACTTCTTTGTAATACTTGAAGGCCACTGTAGCTTAAGTGTCCAAATCTGTAGTGCCACAAATGTGCAGCTTCTTGAGCATCGGTCTGGAAGCATTGTTCCTTTGTTGCCTTATTGTTTGAGATTAGGATATACATCCTATTAGCCTTCATGTTACTTTGAAGAATGAGGCCTTTCGAGGGATGGTAGATGCGACACTCATTGTCTTTGATCACAAATGCCAAGCCCTTTTCTTGAAGTTGCCCAATGCCTAGTAAGTTGTTCCTCAGTTCAGGGACATAAAATACATCTCCAACAACATGGTTTGCTCCTTCAAAATTCAGTCTCACACTGCCTTGCCAACCACCTTCATCTTCATGTGATTTCCCAAACTCACGTCTCGTTTGAAGCCTTCCTCCATGGTGCAGAAGAGAGAGGCATCTCCACACATGTGATTGCTACACCCACTGTCTAAGAACCACACATCCTGACTCTTTGCTTCAGCAGCTTCAAAGTATGCCATAAGAAGCATCTCTTCATCTTCATTCATTTCAACATATTTGACTTGTTTCTCCAATTTGGGACACTCATATTGAAAGTGTCCCAATTGATGACAACAGTAGCATTAATGGTTGCTTTATCGTAATTTTGACGCCCCCGACCACGTCCTCTTCCTCCTCTAAAGAAATTTCTTCCTCGCCCTCGACTGCTACCACACTCATTGTAAGACACTGCTAATGCTTGCTCCTCGTCGGGTTCTTTCTTGAACTTTTGTTCATGGACTAAGAGAGAACTTTGTAGGGCATCTACTGAAATTTCATCAATATCCTTAGCTTCCTCGATGGAACACACTATATAGTTCCACTTCTCTGTCAATGTCCGCAGAATTTTCTCGACAATTTTGACATCATCCATGTCTTCTCCGCAATTCCGCATGTCATTAGCAATGACCATCACCCTGCCAAAGTAATCATTGATTAATTCACCTGGTTTCATGGCCAAGACCTCGAACTCCCTTCGAAGTCGGTTGAGCTGAGCACGTTGAACTCGAGCATTCCCTTGATATTTCATCTTCATCGAATCCCATAATTGTTTGGATGTCTCCTTCTTTGTTATGGTTTTTAGAATTGATTTGTCCAGAGACTAAAACAAATAATTCTTTGCCTTTAGATCTTTGAGTTTCATCTCGTCAAGACTCTTCTTCTGGGCATCTGTCTGAACAACATCTTTGCTGGGCAGAGTATAGCCTGTCTCCACCACGCTCCAATATTCTCTTGATCGGAGGAGGTTTTCCATGACCATACTCCAGTGGTCAAAATCCCCATCGAATTTGGGAATTGACGGTGTTGAGAAACCACTACTTTTCTCCTCAGATCCCATGCTGTTTTTAGGGCTCTCTTGTGTTTCTCTGACAGACACTCGTTGGTGTTCTTCAATACTCAATCTCTCAAGCTCTGATACCAGATGTTAACAATTGTAGTATTCTGGCAACTGAGTTGTTTTATTGATAGGAAACATGGCTTATAAATAGCCTTACAAATGAAACTGTAAAAGAAACTGAATGCACTAGAAAGTGCCTAATAAAACGGATAGAAAGTGCCTAGAAAATCGAAACAAATAAATCCTATAAACTAGGACAACCTAAACTGAATCCCATGATCCTCCCACGACCATAACAGTTTGACTCATTCAAATATCATAGCATAAGCTGAATTTACTCTAACAACTTTAAGTAATGCACTCGTGCCATGATTTCCATTGGTATAAATAAGTTAGACACGATGACAAACCGAAAAGCAGACAAAAATAAGCCCTGGTAAACAGTCAAATGATTGGATACATTTTTATTTAAATTATAATAAATAGATTAAAATAATCCATTATTCATTTACATTCCACTGAAAATTTAGTAAAAGAAAATTAATCCATCCATTTCATAAATTCAAAGGCTAATCTTTCTATAAATAAAAGTTAATTAATTGAACCTTTCTAAGCAAATGTTACTTAGAATTCCAACTTGCATGACCTTGACCTTGACCTTGAATGTTGAAATAAACTGTATAATGCTCATCCCTGAAGCTGAATAATGGCTCTAAAAGAAAATCCTGGTATGTACCTTTAGCCAAAAAGCTAATAGGATGGTATTGCTTTAATCCTTTCCCAAAAACAAAACTTGTTGCTTGGTTTAAACTAGCTTCAGAATCAGACTTGCACTTGAGCTTAAGTTCTGAACCAGCGCTCATATCGCTATGCACATAACAGTCTTTATTGCTTTTTGATTCTAATGATACAGTTTGATTTCGTCCGTCCAATCCTGGCACGACTAGAAAATCCGAAGAAGGCCCGCCGAGGGAGGATTCTACAACGATAAGAGGTTGGTCTGGTCCTTGGTGACTTACAGTATTTCCAGGTAGATCAATTGGTTCTAAAACCACCGATTTACTAATAGAATCTTTTTGGACAAGTCTAAAGGTAGCGTGAAGAGCGATATCAGTTCCAGGTGCAGGTAAGTTTTGCATTGTGAGTGATTGGTTTGAGTTTGTCATAACAAGAGTTAAATTTTTAAAGTCTTGTGACAAAGAAACTAGTTGGTTGTTGTAACTGGAAGGAATTGGAGTAATCAAGTCTGCAACAGATGTCTTAGCACCAACTTTAATGTCCCAATTTTTATAGGTATGACCAGCAAGAAGGTATGGTCCATAAAGAATTGCTTGAAGAGATGCGAATTCAGGTCTTTCATCTGAATTTCATTTGAAAACAAAATATCAGTAAACACATTCCTTCATGAAATATATGTAATATCTCATTCATAGATTGTCTTGTAAAGCTACCTTTTATGGCTTCTGTTCGGACGATGAGAGGCAACTCAAGGGTCAACTTGTCATCGGAACTCCATTGTCGTGTGATTGACAAAAACTTCCCTAAAGGTTAAGACAGTAAAATATTACTTTCATGTTTCAAATGTTAACTTTTCCGGCTATAAAAGATTTACATAATTATGTATAGCAGGAATAACTTTTTCTGCTAACATAAATATGATTGGCCTAAGGGCTTGTTCTTTTTCGTCGTGATTAAACATTCTAGCATCTATCCGGGTGAGATAAGTAAGAGAAGTAAAGACAAATTCAAACCTGGAGCTGGCAAAAATAAAGTTTCAGTATTCAATATCGCCTTGGCACCATTGGCAAGAGTCCAAGATGGTAGACGAAAATTCAATGTTGACGAAGTCCCATTTTTCTGCAGAGATCAAGTTTTGAAATGATAGGTTGTAGGAGGAAAATATGGAGGATCTTATTTTACATGACTTGTTGGTTTCTTAAATAAGGCTAAAAAATTATAGATTTATAATCTCAAAAGTTCAATACCAATCATCAGAATTCAGATTATATGTGGCTAAATGAGAAGCAATAAGACAAAGTAATATGTACCTCATTAGGAGAGAAGGTAAAAGAGACTCGTAGGTAAGGGTCTGACGAAGCAGCCGGAACAACTGTCTGTGTGAGCAAAACTTTCCCAGATTTCCAATTAAATGAACTTGAAATGTACTGAATGATGTATAGACTAGGATTATTCCCCTCCTCTTCAAAATAAATAGAATCTCCCAGCTTTGAGAATGATTCAATTCCTAATCACAAAGGAAAAATAAATTGAGAATAGCACACTGGTAAGAGAATTGAGGAGTTTAGTAAAGTTTACAACAAATATTACTCCCTCGGCCTCATATTAAGCTGCAGGTTCCAAATATTAGTTTGTTTAATATTATTATTTTCCATTTTAGAATGTCAATAAATCATTGATGAATACATGAATGCGAGAGTTAAATGAGTGCAGTGAACCTATTTCAAAAATTAGAACCTGCGGTGATTCTAATTAAAAGTGTTCATAATCTTAAAAGGAGTATGCAGATTCCCACCTGTTCCGTAGCAGCACCAGAAAGAATTAAATGGTGTTCCCCAACCATGATAAGATTTAGCTTTGGATTGCCCACGACCTAGAGGAAGCATATAAATCATCACCCCGGGATCTGTTCCTCTTTGAACACCGAGCACACCATTTGTTAAGGCGCGCTCATAATAATCTGCATAAGAGACTTCTTTGGTCCATTTGAACAGGTGGCGCGAAACCTGAAATCAATATTTGAGAACATGAATGCTTCAACCGAAATAAACAATGAGTTACAATGTGATAATAAATCTTTCCCTCTTCCAACCGTTTAAAGAAACTCTGAAAATCTTCTCTAGGATTACGTGATGATGAACTAATAGAATGATGAGTGATTGGTTCATTTTGTTGTACCTTCAACATATTATAAGTTGTGCACGATTCTTCACTCTCTGTTGTCAGGGCATTTGCCATTCTTTTTGGATCACTCCTGCGCGGTAGTTGAGATAAAAGACTTCAGAAAGAAATCTAGAACTGACTATCATGTAAAAATACGGGAACCGAAACTTTCTACTTGATTTTCTTTAAGAAATCAAATTCTATGTATAAGTTTATGTGCAAATGAAAAAAATTGAAACATCTTAATACCAGAACTCACTGACTGATGTCCCTCCAGTTGCATAGCTGTGTGAAGAGTTTACAATGCTCATAAAGAATGACCCAATATCCTAACACCAAAACACGAGAACTATTCTTAGAAAATCGATAGGCATATATAAGAGTGTTGAATGATTATTATCCTCGAGTTATACCTCCAAAACATTAAAATCGGAAAAAAATAAATTAGTGAAAAATAGATTAGTAATCTACAAAGTGCCTGAGGAACTCACCTTAAAAATTGGATCACCCGTGACTTCGTACCGCATTTGAGCTCCAACAACAATTGGGATATGCGTATTAGAATGAAATCCAGCTATGTCATTTGCCTACATGAAATATAAGGCTACAATTAAATTTTACATGTATATTGTATGTTATGCCCTTTAGATATTGCTCATCTAAAAGCCAACATTAGTAACAACTTATAAGTGCTTTCTTAAAATTAATTTGAACAACAGTTGCAACATCTTGAAATTTACAGCTAAAACAATATATAACTGACTTGTGTCATAATAAATATCAATTAGTTACCTCTACTGCAAGCAACCCTAAAAAGCATGGCTTGTCGAAAAGGTGTGCCAACAATAAATGCTTTGAATCCCGCTGCATATTTGTATAAAAAGAAAGACTTAGTTCAGAATAACCAAGAGCCATGTGCTATAATCAACTTTGGACAAAAAGCCATATCTGTATAGTGTCAACAAGTGAAGAACATTATATGAACATGAAACAAAAAGAGTTAAGGAAACTACACAAACTAGTTAACCTACCGTTACGCTATATAATTTGTACAGGACATCATTCATTCCTCCAGTTTCCTCATTTAGGGAATCATAGTGTCTATGTACAGTGTACTTTGCTATTACATTCATGACTCGGTTGTAAAAGTAATCGACCATCCATGTCAACATTTTTAGAGCTTGAGGGTTTCCACCTTTAACATGTTGATCCAACAATCCGTCCATGATCTGTCAAAGTTGAGTAATTGAGATCACACAATATTTAGGCCAAAAGCACTTGCACTTGTCAAAATCTAGTTTTTCTTATACCTTGTGAATGGTGTAATAGGGAGCCCAAACAGGTTGAATAGCTTCGAATCGATCAAAATACTCATCTGGAAATGCAGATAGATATCCTGTTCCAATTTTCTCCTGACAAGCGGATAGACCGGTAACAAGGGCCGACATTTTCTCCTTCAGACTATCGTTCTTTGTGCTCGCCCACATTAGAGCCGATGCACTCAAGTAATGCCCTTCACATTATAACAAATAATCAATCATATATATAATCCAGATTATACAGAAATAGCAGGCAAACAGACAAAATTGCAGCCAGAATATGAATAAAACAAAATTTACCAACAAAATGTCCTCTGAGTTCCTGATCAGGAGTCTCCCATCCACCATAAGGTTTACCCGGAGTCGGTAATCCCGCCGTCTTCCTGAAGCTCCAAATCAAACTATCAACATCCAACATCAACAAATACTCCAGATTAGTCTGCTGTGCATCAGCATGAACTGAACCATCCAGTAACCTCACATCCTCAAGAGGAACTTCTTTGAGAAATCCAACAGGTAGCTTAAACACACCAGGATTCTTAATTTTCCTATACATAACACTCCAACCGCGTTGATGTTCTTCTGATAAGAACTTCCTTGGTAACAAATCCACCCAAGCTGAATCATCAGTTGGTGTTACATGATACTGAGACAACTGAGACAACATTTCTGTCTTCCATGTCTCATTCTTTGATATCCCTAACTCATATCGCAACGTGTGCGATTGAGTCGGAGTGTTTGTGCATTCTCTTCCAAAAGCACAACCACACAGCATAAAGGCCACAAAAACATACACAACAAGAGCCTCCATCTTTCTGAAAAATTCAAAATCAAAACAGCAATATATTAACTTATTTCACCTTATCTAGTACTAGAATAATCAATTGTGAAAACAGCTTATCATAATAAGCACTTATGCTATTTATCCAAACCTTAATCTATAAGCAGCTATTAAAAGCATAGATAATAGATTACTCACCAGAAAACCAATCAAAGTGGAGGTAAAATGAATGGAATTGGAAGGCAACCTATGAAAGGTAAAACTGAATTGAAAGCTAAGAAAAGAGAAAAACAATGAAAATGAATTAAACTTAAAGAGATGGAGTTGCTAAGTGAAGGAAGTGAGAAAGACGTAACATGATTTGGAGTATATAGAGACAGTGACACGCGGATGAACAACTGAGAGAATGATTATGGTGTGAATGATTCTTTGCAAATAAGAAAACAAAAATATAGTGGGAATGGTTAACGTGGCTTCAAAAAAAAAATCTTGAACTTATGACTGTTTATCTTTGAGACACGACAAACACCTCGTATGCTATTTAGAAAAATGCTAAAGAGTATGCTATTTAAAAAAATGCTAAAGAGTGCCCAGCCCAATCCTAGGCACTCGTTAATTAAAAAGATATATTTTTATTTGAAAATAGTTGTTTTTTTTAAAGAATAAAAACGTAAATTTTATTATAAATATTTGTATTAATGTATTAAAAATAGAAATAACTAGTTTATTTAAAGAATATTTTCTTTATTTAAAATTCTTAAAAAGTGTTTTTTAATATCAGTTAGCATGATCCTACTATTTATAACAAAAGAATTTGTGTTTTAAATTCATTCCAGAATTAATATATTTGGTGTATTTATTATCAGTGTATTGCTTATTCAAAGATTAAAAAACCATTTTTTTTCTTATTTTAGACTAGTAAAACTATTTTAGAAAGAACATTTAAATTTAATAATGATTACTCCCTATTATAGTGGGAATGATTAATGTGGCTTCAAAAAAAAATCTTGAAGTTGTGACTGTTTATCTTTGAGGACAAACACTTCAAAAATTGTGTTTTAAATTTATTCAAAAATTAATATATTTGATCTATATTATATATTATTCGTGTATGGGTTATTTAATGATTAAAAAACCAATTTTTACTTATTTTAAACTAGAGAAACTATTCTAGAAAGAACATTCAAATTCAGGGGAAGACTTCATTATCCTATTAAAATTGTTGGATAACTTCAACCACTTGAATTGTCTTATGTACATTGGTTAAAAAATATATCATTCGTCATACATTAATAACCATAATAACATGATATATCTATATAATTATTCATAATTGTATATTTAATCCCTTAATTTATTTTGTTTTCAAGTAAAATTAGTACGTTTTCAAGGCAAATGTATAGTACAATATTTCGTTTCCATTAAATTTGTATAGAAAAAAGAAGAGTCAATAGTACTTCAAAAAATTATAAAGTATGTTATTTAATTTAGTTAAGAGCTACTTTGAAGAAATGGTGTTTTTATTTTTTATTTAATAATAATTAATATAAGAAGCAGAATAATAAATTTATTTCTATGTTTTGATTTAAGAATAATACACTTACACTAATAAATTTAATATGATTAATTTTTTATTTATTTCTGATATTCAAATAAGAAATTATAATTTGTTTTATTAATATATAAAAACACAATAAATATTAGATTTACAAATATTAAGTTTCATGTAATATATTATATAACTAATAAGAAGTATTAAAAAAATATTGTTAAAAAAAAAAGCAAATTAAAAATTTTACATATATATATATATATATACATATATATATATATATATATATATATATATATATATATATATATATATATATATATATATATATATATATATATATATATATATATATATATATATTTACACGAGAACAAGATGATGATCGAAGATAATAAGCTAGCTGGTAGCTAATGATTAATAGCTGATTGTTGGTAACTTGTAGCTTATGAATTTTAGCTGATAAGCTAAATTGAATGTTTGGTAAATTAGGATTACACTCTCTGATAAATAAAAAAATGACATAAAAAAACATTCTTAATTAAAAAAATTATTGATCGTATTTATTAAATTAATTTTTATTCAATAAAAATAAACGTATTAACAATCAAATGCAAAACATTTTAAATATAAATATAAAATTAAACATAACACAAATATATTAAGTACTTATATATAAATTTTATAATAAAATTTAAATATCTAAAATGATAATATTGTAATTTGATCTTATATTCCAATAAAGTGTATACTACCTTTTTTTTTTCTCTCAAAATCCACGATATGTCTACTAATAAACAAATATATTCAATTATTCATTATCATATTTATAAAAATAATACATTAATAATAAAAAAAAATTCAAATAATAAATAATAATTTAAAAGTAATTTAAAAAATTCAATATAATGAGTTAAAATATTCCATTAATAACAAAATGGAAGATGAATGGTGTAATTAGCAATGTTAATTTGCATCTATTAACGGGGATTCCATTGGTGATTATCTGTTCGGAGCTCCAAAGTCAGAGTTTCTTTCTCTCGCGGGGACGAGGATGGAGGTAAAAAAATTTCGATAAAACTTCAGGGTGGGGATCGGGGAAGTACCCCCTGTCCTGCAGATTCCTCGAATCCGGCCATATTATTAGTTATCCTTTTTTATATTTATAATTGTTGTTTTCGGATTTAAAAAATTGAGTTTGGCACAAGGAAATTATCGGGACGAGTCGCGTACTAGATCGCTTTCTTTAAGACGTTTCGCCGTACTGCCAAATTATGCAAAGCAGTCGATTTACGACGACGCCCCCAGGATAAAACAGTCCGTTCTTAAAACTTACGATTATCAGTTGCACACTGATAAATCGCTCTAGAAATACACCTTTCTAAATTAGTATCTGGCGCAAATAACTAGTCAAGAAAAGAAAAAAGTTTAGATGAAGAGAATAAAGGGAGAGAAGAAGGAAATCAAAATTCGTGTGAATTTGTGAAATCCGATGTGCTCACTACTGAATTTCTACCCTGTATTTATAGGCAGCTAGTAAGGCTTAATTTCCATTCCCTTCAATGTGGGACTAAATTGAAACTTAATTTTCATTTCTTCAATGTGGGACTAAAATGAATCTTAATTTCCATTCCCTTCAATGTGGGACTAAAATGAATCTTAATTTTCATTCCCTTCAATGTGGGACTAAAAATGAATCTTTTCAAATTCACTTCTATATTAGTTCTTACTTGTATTCATTTATTGCTCATTAATTGTCAACAAATGTTTCCAATTCCCACTCTAATCAATTAAAGTTCCAACATTCCCCCACTTGAATTTAAAAGAGATTTTTGAAGTACGTCAGACGTTTCTAAGGTTGAGCATAAGCAAAGGTGTCTACGACTTGAACCTTAGCGTAGCGAGTAGGATTCTGATTCAACAAGAGTGACACCATTGTCTTGAACTCTATCTCGGACATCAGACCCGCACACAACCTTTTCGTAAGGTGTATTCTTGTAGCTCGTGCTTTAGTGGCCCTGCACGTGTATCCCGGTTTAGTGAATGCTCTAGGAATTCTGCCTCGAAATTCCATAGGAACCGGCCTCAGTTCCACAGTCACATAGGTGAATCTATCAAGAGTACTCCTGTAGCCTAGGTACTCCCTCATACAGAGTATAGATCTCATTAAGAGTTTCTATTACCTCATCCTCTCATTACTTCAGGATTCATGCTTTACTTGCATGATCATTTTCATATTGCTCAAAACTTGTTATTACCCATTGAACCTAAGTCTTAGGATCTTCAGTCATTTAGGTCGGGTTACCATCATGAGTAAATTGCTTTATAGGCATTAGTCCCATCTTTTTGGAAGTATTATGGACTTTCTCTCTAGCTAATCCTTTCGTCAAAGGATCTGCTAAGTTCTCATCAGTGCGTACATGATCCACTCTCACAGCTCCTTTAGAGATACAGTCTCTAACAGTGCTATGTTTTCTTCTAATTTAACGTCTTTTACCATTATAATAACGGTTCTCAACTTTTGCAATAGCCGCGGTACTATCGCAGTGGATCAACACAGCTGGTATAGGTTTTTCCCATAAAGGAATCTCAGCTAGCAAGCATCTTAACCAACTTGCTTCTTCACTAGCTGTAGCTAATACTATCATCTCAGACTCCATTGTGGACTGTGCCAGAATGGTCTGTTTCTTTGATTTCCAAGATACAACTCCTCCGGCTATACTAAATATATAACCACTAGTAGCTTTGGAATCATTCGATAAGGTGTTCCAATCTGCATCATTATACCCTTCTAGTACAACAGGAAATTTCTGATAGTGTAGGCCGAAGTCCATAGTCCTTTTAAGGTACCTCATTACTCGCTCAATAGCTTGCCAATGTTCGTTACTCGGCCTACTTGTAAATCTGCACAGCAATCCTACGACATATGCAATGTCGGGTCTAGTACAATCAGTGGCATACCTAAGACTGCCAATGATGCTCGCATATTCTGCTTGTTTGACACTTTCTCCAGTGTTCTTAAACAGTTTCACACTTGGATCATACGGAGTGCATGCAGGTTTACAATCAAAGTATTTATATTTCTTTAAGATCTTCTCCACATAGTGAGATTGATCCAAAGAAATTCCTTGGTCGGATCTCGTGATCTTGATACCCAGGATCACGCTTGCTTCTCCGAGGTCTTTCATATCAAAGTTATTGCATAACAATGATTTCATATCATTAATGGCCTGAATGTTTGATCCAAATATAAGTAGATCGTCTACATATAGACATATGATAGTACAAATGTGATTCTCAGATTTGTAATAAACGCACTTGTCACTTTCATTCACTTTGTACCCATTAATTATCATTAGGTTATCAAACTTTTCATGCCATTATTTAGGGACTTGTTTTAGTCCATACAGAGACTTATCTAACTTACAGACCTTGCTTTCTTGTCCTTGGATCACAAACCCTTCTGGTTGTTCCATAT